AACAAAAAAACAGCCCAGTCAGCAATCGGCGGGTTAGGGGAGGGGGGGGGAACCCCAAGTCTGTCTTCACAACTAGCTGCCAAATAGGCAGCTGTAAAGGAGCCTGGGGTTAGAAGAGAGGACCGGACTAATGATATTAACCTGAAAGCGATAGCAATGCATGAGACGATAAAGCCATAATGTAGATAAATAAGAGAGACCCAGGGGCTGAGCTCTGAGATAATACAATGCTTTAGAGCAGCGGTTCTCAACCTGTGGGTCTAAGACCATCAGAAAACACATATATGATTACATATTGTTTTTGTGATTAATCTCTATGGTTTAATTATGTTCAATTTGTAACAATGAAAATACATCCTGCATATCAGATTCATAACAGTAGCAAAATTACAGTTATGAAGTAGCAACGAAAATAATTTTATGGTTGGGGGTCACCACAACATGAGGAACTGTATTAAAGGGTTGTGGCATTAGGAAGGTTGAGAGCCATTGGTCTAAGGGAAAAGAAGTCAGTGCCCCTGACTAAGGAGTCAGGTATTTCATGTTTTTAAAATTCTTGTGGCACATCGGTTGAAAAATTGCTGGTCTATAGTTAGGTCAACTTTCTAAGGATCCAGGTTTTATCCTTAGAAATGAGCACCTCTGGTCTTCCTAGGCAAGGAGGCACTTCCCTTACTAGATTCCAAGCATTGGATCCTCCTGGGCTTAAGTGTATTCTTTCTGTCTCCACCCTTTCTGGAAGGCCTCTGTTTAATAAGGAGGTCATGGTGGAGGAGGCTGAGAGTTACTAATTCATTAATTAGTTAAGTCATAATACTCTACCCCACTCCTAAGTCCTGTTTAATTAGGAAAATAGGAAACAAGTTCTCATTTTATACATCTGTTACTACCTGAACTTATCAAATGCTGACCTCTGTGATTAGGCTCTTAAAGATTGTCTGATTATGCGTGGGGCTCCAGGTATGAGTTTTGCTAATATATCTGTCATCACATTTCAAATGATTAGTATTGTCCAAAAGATACCAACATACCAAGAATTACCAATAATGTATTGAAACTGATATAAAAAATATATTAAGATACTAAATAATGCTTTTATTCATATTATAATGGGTCTTGTTTAGTTCTGTGGTGTGTTCTCTCTCTATTTCTGTAATTTCTTAATTAGCTAGGCCACATACTTACCCCTCTCCCCACTTAGATTTTTTTAAATTGTACATTAAATCCAGATGTATAGGAGGATCCGATAAATGCCCGGGATGCAGGACTCTCATGCGGACAATTGAGAGAGAATACTGCTCAGACAGACCATCAAGGGCCTTTTATAAGCTTTCCTCTTCCATCTCATACTGTTCCTTTTTTTCTAGAATGTCTTGGAGATAAGGAGATGCCATTGAAGAACATTACACAGGGGGTGACATAGGATTTATGTTGTAAAGACATCACTCTGAGAGGCCTGGAGAAGATGAATTGAAATGGAATGAAATAGAAGAGGGAGAGACCAGTTAGGAGGCCATTACTATGCTGGGCAAGACACCATGGGCAGAGGCAGTGGCAGTTGGTATAGATGGGCAGAGAGAGATCAAAGCAAGATTAAAGTACAGAATCTATAAGACTGAAGTGGCTGATTAGATGTGAAGGCAAAGAAGAGTTAGAAGTTAAGTGCACATTGATTCTTGCAGCTCTGTGATAAAATATTATTTTCCCCAGA